GTTTCGATTATAAACCTGCATCACAGTATACAATTTCAAAGACAAAATACACAATGACAATAATATACCCAATGACCTGAAGGATCATGTGTGTTCATTCAAAGAAAGGTTTTCCTATGAATTAATTAGTAGAAAAGTCCATTTCTACTCTGCCTTTCCTATGGGGACAATGAGTGGGTTATTCTACTCACATTCCTGGGGGGGTCATAAAACCAGTGATATCATGATTAGTTGTCATGGGGACCAGGGGGCCTGGTGTTTTGCAGAAATCCTGGCATCCAGTTTATTGAGTGAGGGGACTGTGACGATTTGTTAATCTAATGAATAATTGATTTGTTAAATCAAATAAAAATTAGTGTGTCAGATTGGTCGAGACGCTACAATGCAGAGTATGCTGATTTAGTTACTGCTTTGACATGACTACTGAAACAACAAAAGGTGCTAATATACACTCACAATGTGATATAATACTACCAAAAATATATAATCCTAACCTTTAACTCCAGACCGAAATCCCAGATAGCCAGACAATGAAAATATAAATAAATATATATACAAATTATTTGTGTTTGGGATGTGAGCTTGGAGAGTAAATAAACAGTGCACATGAACGGCTGCGGAGGTAGTATTCTCAAGTGAAGCGAATTGAGGCTTGGACCCGGAAACAGTGCTTCTTGTGTCACCACTTAACAAGCGGATACATTAAGATTTGAATGGCAATGAAAAGAAACTAATTGCCATTAAGGTGAAATTACTGAACCTAATCATAAGCTTGTTTTAAAGGGGTCATATGATGCGATTTCAAGTTTTCCTTTCTCTTTGGAGTGTTACAAGCTCTTGGTGCATAAAGAAGATCTGTAAAGTTGCAAAGACTAAAGTCTCAAATCCAAAGAGATATTCTTTATAAAAGTTAAGAGTCAACCACGCCTACCTAAAACGGCTCGTTCTAACATGCCCCCACGTCTATGTCACTATCTGGGAAGATTTGCATAACACCGCCCAAATGTTCACGCAAAGAAAGAAGGCGTAACTTTTATTCTCGCTGTAGTATTGTTGCTGCCACCATGTCGTGAAGGCGCTGTGTGTTTCCTTGTGAAAGCGAAACTACTTTGTTTGGCCTTCCAAAAGAGGACGATATCGATTCGTCATTCCTGGAGCTGATCCGTGCTGGTCGCTGAGGAAATACTTCAATTTCGTGCTGTTGATCGCCAGATCGGCTTTCACCGTGGACGAAGCGGAGTCCAGCCCGGGGTCGTCATATGTGGTTGCCGCAGGCATCACAATATGGTAAGGGACGTAACATTTCCGTCACACGCTTGAGGAATTCGGCCAATCACAACGCACTGGATAGCTGGCCAATCAGAGCACACCTCGCTTTTTCAGACCGATGAGCTTTGTAAAAATCGACCCGTTTCAGAAAGGCGGGGCATAGAGGAGAAACAATAATGTACAGTATGTGGAAAATAATGTTTTTTTTTTTTTACCTTAAACCGCATAAACACATTTCATTACACCAAATACACAAAATAATGTTCTTTTTAGCAGCATCATATGACCCCTTTAACGCTCAATACACACACAGAAGCATTTGCCTGTGTTGAAAGCCCTTTGAGAGTGTAATAAAACAGTATTTTACCTCATAAGAGCTTGGCAGCTTCAATTTTACACAGAGGAACTTCTTAATGGTTCCCACCGTAACACGGGTGGAGCAACGGATGAATTTCTTCATTAAACCCTGTTGCAGAGAGACAAGGAGTGCAAATTATAAACGCGCGCGCGCACACACACAAACGCACATCATCTGAATACATATACATACTTTGAACTATACTGTCTATATGTACCTTAACTATGCTTTCTCCTGATTGGCCATTGTTTCGTAGACAGTCCAGACAAATAGCGATCTGAGGATCACTCCTGTGGTAGTCTCCACCTTTCCCATCATCGTCCTCTTCATCACTCAGGCGAGATTTCTTAGCCCTAGGGCCATCTAGAAGATAGACAAAGGAAATCTGGTCTTTAACCTTAAAGTAATTTGGTACATACTGTATGTGTACTGTATGCGTGAGAGGTTATGGGTTTGGTGTAGGGAATAGCTAAGCATTACCTTCTCCATTTGATTTGATCTTATTTTTTCTCCAGAACTCACTTTCCTGTTGTTCCTCCTCTAGTAAATAAACACAATCATTTAAAGAAAGTACATTAAGAAGCAGTTTACAGATATAGAAACCCTTAGTAACCAAAGCACAACCACATAAACTACAGAGTGCATCTCAGATGTGCATTATAGAGAATAAAGTGTCTATGTATGTGTATATACACACTCACTCTCTCTTAGTCCAGGCACCAGCTTGAAGATGATCTCCTCCAGGGTCTTATCTAGCCTGCAAAAAGAAAGGCCAAGATACCATATAAAACATAGGAGGACTCGTGTGTGTACTTAATCAGTGCATATGTGAAATGAGTGTGGGTGAGTTTGGGTACCTCAGCATCTCTAAAGGGTTGGTTTCATGGACTTGTATTCCACATTCCGGACACTCATTACTCTCCTCAAAGTGCTGAACGATACAACTCTTACAAACTAGAGGAGAGTGGAAAAAAAGAGAATGAAGAATAGAAAAGACACAAGAGAATGAGTGGATCAGGTCAAAATACTCTGAAACTATCAGACTGTTTTCAATCACTTTTTGATGGCTCATACATGACACAGGTCACTGAAGTTAAAAACAATATATTAAGCAACTACATAACTATCAGATGTTTTTTTTTTAAATCAGAACAAAAACAATGAGTGTACCAATAAAAATTACAGCATTTGACAGATAAATGCCACCAATACACAATTTATACTCATAAAGCCACCAATAAAACTAGAAAATACCGTAAATTACAGTGACCAACAGCAAAAATTATTATTTATTTTTTTAATATATTGTTTGTCATTTTTATTTTTGTTATTTTAGAACTATGTATACATAATTAAAGTATTACTTCTTAAAAAATTTTTTTACTATCTTATATTATTTTCATTTTTTCTTATAGGCTCAATTTGAATTTACATTTTGACTTCAACTTATTTTATTTCAAGTAATTTATATTTTGTTTAAGTTTTTTTTTAATTAACCAAAACAATTTTTAGTTTACAATTACAACACTGATTTAGTTTTAGTTAGTCACTCCCTTACACTACTGGATTTTTTTAAAGGTTAATAAGTCATTTTTAGTGATCCTCTGCTCTGAGACAAACACCCACTGCATACCCTCACCACTGTATCTACCAAACATTCGAGAGACTTTCAGGTGGGTTACACAAAGTATTTGGATGTTAAGCATGTTAAGTGTGAAATAAACAGATTTTGGAGACAGTAAAGATATGAGGCAGGTCAGATAAGCAGGTATGGGTAGGCCATTTTTCCATTACATAATAATGACATAACAGCCATTTTTGGAGATATTGCAGGTGCAATAGCTGAATCATACACAAGTCTTTAATAAACTTATCACATAAAACTAAACGATTCTAGAAAGAGGCCAGTTCATTCCGACACATTTCTAATAATAAAGATTTCTAAAATATTCAGTTTGTTTTTTTTGTCAGAAAGAATAAAGAAATTATGCAGAGGACACAAAGAGAATGTGTGAGACATGGATGACTTACAAGTGTGCAGGCATTCTGTGACAGCAGTAGGCTTTATCAGGTACCCACGGCAAATTGAGCAGGTGATGTATCGGTTGAAATCTCGGACCAGGTGCTTTCGGTGGGTCGCCATCTCGACTCAAAGGTCACAGAGGTCAGGAGATCGCAAGCTAGAGTCACAGCTCTGCCTGTGCACCAACACAGGGTTGCCACTGTGATTTTGTCATCGCCTCGGTTTTGAGGCAGCTGTAACTCCAATCTGAAGACATTATTGTTGGGAGAGTGACCCTAGTTTAAAAAGCACAAATAAAAGTTGATTTTAGGAACACTTGTTACCTGCTTTTAGTGACTTACTTTATGTATCCACATGACAAGCAAAGACTCAAAACTGTTTACGCCACACAGTCTGTTTTGAAACCAATCCAACTCAAACCAGACTTGAGCTGAGCCTTATTAGTCAAAGTGTATCAGAGTTTAGGACTCCTTTCAGTCTGAAAAGTCTTAGGAAAGTCCCTGTCACGAGAGACGGGAAAAGCTAAGGGTGTGTCATTTCAAAAGTTCTTTTGAGTTTTCATTGGCTTGATGTTAAGGTCATGTGGCCACAATATAACCACCAGATTCAGCAGGAATATTGAGGCCCTCGTTCTTTTTTGCACACACAACAAAGTCTTGAATATTTAAGAGCCTGATTTCAGAACTGACCAAAATCTCCCAAAAAGTAGTATATCAAACAATATTTTTTGTGGGTCAGTACTAAATGTTGTAGTTTTAGCATTATATAAATCAAATAGAAATTATTAGAAATGCTGACTTTCATGTAGTAAATTGCAACCCTTGTATAAAGCAATTTAAAACATTTATTTTAGTAAATATGAGTAAAAACTACTTATTTAACAATCTGAACTATCATAGCAACTACTTTGGCTGGAAATATATATATATATAATAGGGCTGGGTGATAATTCGATAGCTATAATTATCGCGGTATAATTTTCCTCGATAAAACGATATGAAGAGTTCGATATAATGTTTATGTGCCAAAAGCTGAACGAAACAGCGCGACTCATTTGAATCGCGCCACACGGACCGTTTATCCGCTCTGATCAAAAGCAGCGCAAGCAGAGAACTGGAGAAATCCAAATATTACCTACCATATATGTTTACAGGATTTATAATATCACTTCAAATGCAAATAAGATCTACACTGCTATTATTACTATACTATAAATGTTAACTGAGCAAGTGCATTTGATATTTAGGTATGTTTGGGTCCGGTGAATGAATGAAATACACTAATCCGTGGGTGAGTTTGGGTACCTCAGCATCTCTAAAGGGTTGGTTTCATGGACTTGTATTCCACATTCCGGACACTCATTACTCTCCTCAAAGTGCTGAACGATACAACTCTTACAAACTAGAGGAGAGTGGAAAAAAAGAGAATGAAGAATAGAAAAGACACAAGAGAATGAGTGGATCAGGTCAAAATACTCTGAAACTATCAGACTGTTTTCAATCACTTTTTGATGGCTCATACATGACACAGGTCACTGAAGTTAAAAACAATATATTAAGCAACTACATAACTATCAGATGTTTTTTTTTAAATCAGAACAAAAACAATGAGTGTACCAATAAAAATTACAGCATTTGACAGATAAATGCCACCAATACACAATTTATACTCATAAAGCCACCAATAAAACTAGAAAATACCGTAAATTACAGTGACCAACAGCAAAAATTATTATTTATTTTTTTAATATATTGTTTGTCATTTTTATTTTTGTTATTTTAGAACTATGTATACATAATTAAAGTATTACTTCTTAAAAAATTTTTTTACTATCTTATATTATTTTCATTTTTTCTTATAGGCTCAATTTGAATTTACATTTTGACTTCAACTTATTTTATTTCAAGTAATTTATATTTTGTTTAAGTTTTTTTTTAATTAACCAAAACAATTTTTAGTTTACAATTACAACACTGATTTAGTTTTAGTTAGTCACTCCCTTACACTACTGGATTTTTTTAAAGGTTAATAAGTCATTTTTAGTGATCCTCTGCTCTGAGACAAACACCCACTGCATACCCTCACCACTGTATCTACCAAACATTCGAGAGACTTTCAGGTGGGTTACACAAAGTATTTGGATGTTAAGCATGTTAAGTGTGAAATAAACAGATTTTGGAGACAGTAAAGATATGAGGCAGGTCAGATAAGCAGGTATGGGTAGGCCATTTTTCCATTACATAATAATGACATAACAGCCATTTTTGGAGATATTGCAGGTGCAATAGCTGAATCATACACAAGTCTTTAATAAACTTATCACATAAAACTAAACAATTCTAGAAAGAGGCCAGTTCATTCCGACACATTTCTAATAATAAAGATTTCTAAAATATTCAGTTTGTTTTTTTTGTCAGAAAGAATAAAGAAATTATGCAGAGGACACAAAGAGAATGTGTGAGACATGGATGACTTACAAGTGTGCAGGCATTCTGTGACAGCAGTAGGCTTTATCAGGTACCCACGGCAAATTGAGCAGGTGATGTATCGGTTGAAATCTCGGACCAGGTGCTTTCGGTGGGTCGCCATCTCGACTCAAAGGTCACAGAGGTCAGGAGATCGCAAGCTAGAGTCACAGCTCTGCCTGTGCACCAACACAGGGTTGCCACTGTGATTTTGTCATCGCCTCGGTTTTGAGGCAGCTGTAACTCCAATCTGAAGACATTATTGTTGGGAGAGTGACCCTAGTTTAAAAAGCACAAATAAAAGTTGATTTTAGGAACACTTGTTACCTGCTTTTAGTGACTTACTTTATGTATCCACATGACAAGCAAAGACTCAAAACTGTTTACGCCACACAGTCTGTTTTGAAACCAATCCAACTCAAACCAGACTTGAGCTGAGCCTTATTAGTCAAAGTGTATCAGAGTTTAGGACTCCTTTCAGTCTGAAAAGTCTTAGGAAAGTCCCTGTCACGAGAGACGGGAAAAGCTAAGGGTGTGTCATTTCAAAAGTTCTTTTGAGTTTTCATTGGCTTGATGTTAAGGTCATGTGGCCACAATATAACCACCAGATTCAGCAGGAATATTGAGGCCCTCGTTCTTTTTTGCACACACAACAAAGTCTTGAATATTTAAGAGCCTGATTTCAGAACTGACCAAAATCTCCCAAAAAGTAGTATATCAAACAATATTTTTTGTGGGTCAGTACTAAATGTTGTAGTTTTAGCATTATATAAATCAAATAGAAATTATTAGAAATGCTGACTTTCATGTAGTAAATTGCAACCCTTGTATAAAGCAATTTAAAACATTTATTTTAGTAAATATGAGTAAAAACTACTTATTTAACAATCTGAACTATCATAGCAACTACTTTGGCTGGAAATATATATATATATAATAGGGCTGGGTGATAATTCGATAGCTATAATTATCGCGGTATAATTTTCCTCGATAAAACGATATGAAGAGTTCGATATAATGTTTATGTGCCAAAAGCTGAACGAAACAGCGCGACTCATTTGAATCGCGCCACACGGACCGTTTATCCGCTCTGATCAAAAGCAGCGCAAGCAGAGAACTGGAGAAATCCAAATATTACCTACCATATATGTTTACAGGATTTATAATATCACTTCAAATGCAAATAAGATCTACACTGCTATTATTACTATACTATAAATGTTAACTGAGCAAGTGCATTTGATATTTAGGTATGTTTGGGTCCGGTGAATGAATGAAATACACTAATCCCTACTGTTTACGAAATGAAAGTTGAACTCATGGTGTGTACACAGTTACACAATGTCTTTTCCCCTTACCAATTATGTAAATGTACAAATTACTTATTTCTCGAAAATGTTTGTATTAGGGCTACATTGATTTTTTTTTATTGAAATATTTACCTTGGGAGACATGGGCTGCGATTGATCTTCATAAATATCCATTTCTCAATTGTGCACATACATCAGTTTGTTCCATCATCATTCACAACATATTTTAATATTTTACACAGTTAACTTTGCATCAAACTAATTTTTTTAATGAAAAAAAGGGTTGTAAAAGGATACAACCAATGACTAATTTAAAGATTTGTTTTACCTGATAATGAATGCAAAAGAAATCGTAATACATGCGTTGCTTATAGACAGATAATGGTTTATGCAACAGATCTTTCACAAAACAGATAAATATTAATAAAAACACACAGGTAATGCAAACACCGATATTTTAATTAATGCCAACCTACCATAATTACATTGTTAAATTGTAGTTACGTATAAATTATGTTATCAAATAAAGTTAATAAAACATGCATGCAGAAATCTCTGAGCGTCGTTTGACAGTCGCAAACCTTATGATCTTATAAGTAGCAGTCAGAACAAAATCAACTCTCCGAATATATACAGTATTGCACGTTTGAGTGGTTGTGTTTGAATGAAGAGATCCCTGTAGACTGACTAACCACTGACGCTCAACCGCATAATGAGCAGAAGAAAAAATTAAGTGGTGTTTGATTGTGATTTCACTTTTTTAATGTTAGTTAGTGTGTAATGTTGCTGTTTGAGCATAAACAATATCTGCAAAGTTACGAAGCTGAAAGTTCTACGCAAACGGAGATATCGTCTTTTAAAATTCTGGCAGTTTAATGCCTACAAAAACGGCTGGTAGGGACTACAACAAGTTACTTCCCGGGTTTGTGATGTAACAAGCCCAGATAAACCCCGCCCTCTGGAAAAGGCAGCAAAGGGGGCGAGGCCATGCTGCACTGCTTTAGAGAAGAGGAAGAGAAAACTAGGTGCACGTAAAAATCTATTCATATATGAATCGTGATTCTGTCTTCTAACGATTCTAATGGATTCACAAGTTTCAAAATCAATGTTCTAAAGCAGCGGTTCTTAATACTGTTCCTCGCGTCCCCCTGCTCTGCACACGCACTGCATCTCTCTCTCTCTCTCTCTCTCTCATTCAGAATACTTTTTTGTGCAAAGAAAACAAAAATAACGACTTTATTCCACATTTTTGTCTCTACTGCGTCACTTTGGACGCGCGTTCACGACAGTATCATGACGCGAGTGTGTGGCGGTGCCATACGAAAATGTGGAATAAAGTATACAAAAAAGTATTCTCGTAGCTTCGTAACTTTACAGTTGAACCACTGATGTCACACGGACTACTTTGTCATCTTGGTACTTTTCTGGACCTTGAACGTGGTAGTTACCTTGCTGTCTATTGGAGGGTCAGAGAGCCCTCATATTTCATCAAAAATATCTTAAATTGTGTTCTGAAGATGAATGAAGGTCTTACAGGTTTTGAACAAAATGAGGGTGAGTAATTAATGACAGAATTTTCATTTTTAGGTGAACTAACCCTTTAATATTATCAGGCAACTCAAACCTGTTTCTTGATTTGAAACAATATCACGCATTATTAAAGGGGTCATATGATGTTGCTAAAAATAACATTATTTTGTGTATTTGGTGTCAAGCGTGTGACGGAAATGTTACACCCCTTACCATACTGTGATGCCCTGTCCGGCCGGAGCGTAACATAAAACCATGTCTGCATTTGTGATCTGAGAAATGACAAACAACAAGCGCTACTCTACACTGCCCAAAACTCGCGTTTGAATCATCAGTGGCAAATTCTTTAAATATAAATTACGTACTTACAGTCAGTCTGTGAGTCAGAACAGCCAGCATTGTAGTCTACTCTACCAGGATCAGGAAACAGTCCTCCATAAAATGCGCTGGACACATCTGAATATTTGGGTTGAAGTGTTCTGGAACAGTGTTGTAAATACAACTTAACTACTGATTTCTAGTTGTGTCCTCTTTTGGAAGACCAAACAAAGTAGTTTCGCTTTCACAACGAAACACAGCGTCACACACGGCGTTATGCAAATCTTCCCACATCGTGACATAGACATGTGGGGGCGTGTTTGAACGAGCAGTTTTAGGTAGGTGTGGCTGAATCTTAACTTTTATAAAGAATATCTCTTTGGATTTGAGACTTTAGTCTTTGCAACTTTACAGATCTTCTTTATGCACCAAGAGCTTGTAATACTCCAAAGAGAAAGGAAAAATTGAAATCGCATCATATGACCCCTTTAATGGTCTGGTTTCTACAACTTTCACTTTGGAGCAAGAATCTGGCTTTAAACTTGAAAGAAATAAAGATTTGACATTTATCGTGATAATTATCGATATCGACTGATATTATTGTGATAATAATTTTGGCCATATCGCCCAGTCCTATATATATATATATATATATATCACAATATGCACTACCTACTAACACAATTGCTAACAGTTTTGGAACAAATTTAGCCTTTTTCCGAGTAAGTATTTCTTTCCTTAATTCTCTGTTTAACCACTGAAAAAAATGGCAAATCATAGATAAACTACTCCAAATTGTTTGGAACATCAGTACAGGCCTCTAAATAGGCAAACATAAAAAGGTACTTGACAGACTGTGTGCAAGGTGTACGAATATCCCAGGATCTGCTCTGATATTAATGTATGTCTTTGAACACACTGACCTTTTTGTGACAACATGCCCCAATAGCAGGATACTATGCAAGTCGTCACAACCTGCCTATGATAGTAAACAGTTGTGAAAGTCCAACATTTCTGCAATATCCAAATCCACCAGAAAAACAAAAAAAATAAATAACGCTTATTATAACTAAAAGCACTTTCAACAAGAAAAAGAGAAAATAAATCATATATGAAAATGGCTCTCTTAGGGTTAAACTTTTATACAGATTTACACGTGCATGCACTGTAACAGTATTTCAGAAAAACAACGTCATCGGTCAATAATTTCTCATGACGACGTCCTTGCGATGCTCTCTGCCTTTTATGTAATACATATATATATATTAGAGGAGAACAGCAACTCACAGGCTACTACGTAATTAATAACTGAGGAGAATGGACAGTGAACGTCCCTTTAAAACGCATTATAAACCAATGACCTGCTCCTATGTATCTTTTAGTGTGCATCGAAACGCGCAGTGTGTCACAGTCCCGTTCTCTCATCAGCGCTAGCGTCAAGGACTGCGTGACGTCATCCCCATGGAAATTATAACACATGGCAAGTTGAGCTCGTCTCTCGACGTCGTTTTTACATTCTGTAATTATGTATCTATCCGCTCCACCAGAGCGGACTGACGGGCACGCAGCCTCTGCTGTACCACATGACACAATTTCTCCCCTCCCCAAACTTTACACACATTCGGTGCCCCCAAACCGATAACGTAGCGCGGATTCCCACGTTCCGTAGCCATCCGAAATACACTCACCGTTACGAATCGTCTCGCCTCGCTCTGTGCTGGGCCGTTAATGGAGACTGAAAACAGGGCTCTCCGAAAGCCAGAGAGAGTCAGATCGTTACAGCCCGGCGGCGGATTGAGCGCGTGCAGGCGGTGCGTGGCTGGTAAACTCGCTGCCGACACGGAACTGGCAGCAGCTCGCGCAGAGAAGGGGCGGGGGACTCACGCGCTTGTTTACGCGCTGCTGTGGATTGATACCAGCGGGGGGAGAGAGCAGTTTGGAACAGTTTCTCACCATCCTAACATTATTAAGTGAATCTCTGAAAATCAACGGGCCACAGAGAGTTGGAATTGGGAAAAATATCTATTAAATTAAGTTAAAATCTTGGAAACGATGACACACGAAGTTTTATTGATTTTTTTTCAAGTGGGGCTGAAAATAAATGTAAGAGAATGCTGGGTTAACTTGTCACAGATTGTATTTTTTATTATTTGTTTAATAATATTTTAAGTACTTTTCTATATAGCTAGACAAATACCTTGACGTGCTGCCTACAAAAAGCAACACAAATCATTAACACCCAGACAAAAGTAAACAAAACAATTATGAAGCACAAAAAATAAATAAATAAATATATATATATATATAAATAATTCCAAAACAAAAATGCAAGTTTTGTACTGTACAACAGATATTTTAATTTACATTTATGCAAATATAATGTATTATATTTGTATAAATAAATGTAACACTACTTACATAAAATAGGTTATTACAATTTGGTTAAATGTTTAAATATATTTATTTATTGTAATTTTACGAAAAAAAAATTCTTTTAAATCTTCCGTCACTATATAGTTGATTCTTGAATGTCTGAATTTATTGTGTTCACTTATCCAAGCAAGGATTTGTGTATTTAGTATTTGCACTTTGTTCATACACACTTAAAAATAAAGGTGCTTCACGATGCCATAGAAGAACCTTTTTGTCTAAATGGTTCCATAAAGAACCTTTAACATCTGAAGAACCTTTCTGTTTCACAAATGGTTCTTTGTGGCGAAAGAAGGTTCTTCAGATTATAAAAAGGTAAGAAAGAGATGGTTCTTTAAAGAACCTTTGACTGAATGGTTCTTTGTGGAACCAAAAATGGTTCTTCTATGGCATCGCTGTGAAGAACCTTTTGAAGCACCTTTATTTTTAAGAGTGTATGTTTTATAGGATTTGTGCAATTTTTAAATGTACATGGTTGTGTGCCCCTTTTTTTAGAATGATTGACTAAAAAATTTTTGTTTGTACTGTTGGACAAATACAGACAATAAAGGTATTTATTAATTCATTCAAGAGTTATTGTAAAATATGCTAGAATTTATTGAATTGTATTGATATAAAATAATTTAAGACAGCATTAAACTAAATATGTGACCATGGACCACAAAACCAGTCATAAGGGGAAATATTTTTAAATTTAGATTTATATATCATCTGCTGAGCAGCAGTATAAATAAGCTATGCACTTCAAAGCTGAATAAATAAGATTTCCATTGATGTATGGTTTGTTATGATAGGACAAAATTTGGTCGAGATACAACTATTTGAAAATCTGGAACCTGAGGGTGCAAAAAAATCGAAATATATTTTTTTAATTTGTCCAAATGAAGTTCTTAGCAATGCATATTATAATCAAAAAATAAGTTTTGATATATTTACAAGAAATTTACCAAATATATTCATGGAACATGATCTTTACTTAATATCCTAATGATTTTTGGCATAAAAGAAAAATAATTTTATTATAATGATAATATGATAATTTTGACCCATACAATGTATTGTTGGCTATTGCTACAAATATGGTTTTGTGGTCCAGGGTCACATATGTGAAAACAACATCACAGCTAGAAAGGACACACATTTATGTAATTTGACTTTTGACTGAAAACCTTAGTTACTGATATAGATTTGACAACTTCCTCTGTGTGACAACTAGCCCCAGTCTCCTTAATACTTATGGCTGTCATCTCAGTTTTCAACCCATGCATTCTAAAACAGTTTAAGATGCTGCAAACTTTCTACTAGCCAGTGTTTATATTATACAGGATACTTGTAAAAGACCCTCAAACTCTTCTCTTTACTCCTAAATGTGTGGGTGAGTCCTCCTTTGTGTGTGGGTAAGAGCACACACTCTTCTGGGTGAATGGTGATACATGTACATTTCTTAATGAGATACACATTATAGCTTTGAATAATGTAAACACTCTCCATTACTGTGTTACCATAGCAACAGAGCATAAGTGCAGTGTGCCCTTTGAACTGAATATCCAGCTCCTCAATGAAATATCTTCTGACATCTCTGCTCCCTCATGCACTGTGATGTCTTTATTCAGATCTGTACATAACTATTCATCAACACATTGTTTACACGGGTGCTAAAATTGTGACATCCGTAGACATACAGAACGATACTATGTCATTTTCTTTTCATTCACTTTATGAGCACACAAACAGCGGGAATGTGTACATGCAGTTTAAAAATATTTTTTAGTGAGATTTTCTTTTTATACCTCTGGGTGTCCTTCAACTTCTTGTGATTTCACTTGCCATATAGATAGCACTATTTATAGAAAAAAACAACAATAGAAAAAAACGTGAAAACAGTGAGATGTAGGAAAACAACAAAGGAAGTAATCTCCTGTCATTTCAAAGGCATTTAATGTGTACTACTCAAAAAGCAGGAGTTATTAACGTGCAAACAACATTTTCGAGACCAGCTAGAACTTCAAAGCATCGTACTGTTACATTGCTACAGCATCAGGGATGTGTCTCAATAACTGATGCATAAAGCTTGAGGTTACCATGTCTGTTGAGTTACTCTGACTGCTGGTTGTTTGCTTGTCAAACATAACCTGTCATGAGGAGGAATGTATGAACTGGCAATCAATCAATCAATAATAAATAAATATACACTTTGGATCACTTCAAGAACCCTTACATATCTATAAAAAATGTGTACATGGTCACTAATAGATATTACTTATTAAAGCTTTTCTTGAACATAGTCTATAACATATTTAAGACATGATTGACAAATGCAAAAGAAAGAAATAGACAGAAAAATACATGACAAAATATTAAATAAAAGTATTTTTATTAATGTATTGATTATTTATTAAATTAATTTAAAGATCATAAAATGGAGCGAAATAATGGCGCAAGCATCTACTGGCACAAATGAAACATGATTACATTTCATTAAACTTCATGGTTGTCTTGCTTTTTAATAATAGTCTCTAGTCAACTTTTTAATTATACAAATACAACATTTTTGTCATGCTAATGAAGCAATAGAAACATTTCTAAAAACAGAGAATCATTCACTTTGCACAGGCTATTTTATACCGAGTGATAGCTTTTACCTTAATAAAGATATTCTGTGCTCATTCCTGCTTGTCTTGCTCTCTCACATCTTTTTTCTCTTCCTCTTGCTCTCATCCCCTCACACAAACACTGCAGAAGCAGATAAGATTCTGTTGCTTTGACTAAAAAGAAGGGAACAATGAACTCTTTGCTTCCCACTGACTGTGATGACATGAAATAGATTAATAAAAGGGGAGAAAGTAATAGAGAGAAAGTGGTAGCGAAGCAATACTGCTTGCATAACACTACTAACAAAGGCAAAGCTCAAAACAGACATTCTAAAGTCATAACACAAACTCATAACAGACATATTTGAATGTCAAAGAATCATTTCAGCTAAAAGCGAACAGCTGTGAGGAACCTGTGTACCAGGTGATCATCACATTATGGCTGTATGTGAATGAGCGCTCAAATTTGGCACAAAGAAGGGAAACAGAATACAGGCCCATAAAGAAATGTGTGTGTATGTCTATGTAATTTATAACACTTCAGCAGCTGCAAGAAAGGCCATAAAAGTAACATTTTAAATCTCAAAACCAAATGTTCATACCAGTGTGTGTCTGCATTCTCAAATGTGTGCTATAGGTGCAAACAAAATCTCTTTTCCCTCTACCGTTTGTGGCTGCTTTAGAGCTTAAACAAAGCATAAGTCAATCCATGTGGACTCTCAGAAACCTTAAGCAGAACCTTAACCAAAACACCTACATCTATAATGTCTTGCATATCCCCCCAAAATGGACCTACTCGATGTTCATGCTACTCTATGCTAATCTAAATTCACCTCCAGTTTTAACTAGATTTCATTTTGGCCTATTTAGTTTGAGGTGAGCTTAATCCTGGAACTATTAACCTCATTAAAAGTCATTAAATGTGTCAATTCATTAATCAACACAAGTATGAGCTGCATTCTCAGCGCTACTGCAAGGGGCGCTATAACAGGATTTAGTCCATGTTATAAAATGTGTCTGTGTCGTGACAGACCAGGTCCTCCTTTGAAATTGGGTTCTCTATAGACCTTAGTTAATTTCTGACAGGAATGAAAACCAGGCTGTGAGGGATAGAAGTACAGTGCATTCAACAACATATCATTGTTCAACTGACAAAACATCTTCTGAAAAAAAAAATCAGTAGACAAAAACTCCATAAAACAGTTTTAAAAGTTGTGAACATTAGGCTATCTGATCTAGGACTGTTATACAGTGTGTGCCATTGTAAAGACGTTTATTCCTCACAGCCATGTTTTCTTCTGCGTTAAATTCAGTATGGTGTCTAACCTGATTAAGGTCTATTAGGACACCATATTATTATTATTATTATTATTATTATTAATTTGTTTTACATATTATATACAGTGGGGAAAAAAAGTATTTAGTCAGCCACCAATTGTGCAAGTTCTCCCACTTAAAAAGATGAGAGAGGCCTGTAATTTTCATCATAGGTATACCTCAACTATGAGAGACAAAATGAGAAAAAGAAATCCAGAAAATCACATTGTAGGATTTTTAAAGAATTTATTTGCAAATTATGGTGGAAAATAAGTATTTGGTCAATAACAAAATTTCATCTCAATACTTTGTTATATACCCTTTGTTGGCAATGACAGAGGTCAAACGTTTTCTGTAAGTCTTCACAAGGTTTTCACACACTGTTGCTGGTATTTTGGCCCATTCCTCCATGCAGATCTCCTCTAGAGCAGTAATGTTTTGGGGCTGTCGCTGGGCAACACGGATTTTCAACTCCCTCCAAAGATTTTCTATGGGGTTGAGATCTGGAGACTGGCTAGGCCAC